GAGACCACAGACCTGGAGACCACAGCCCGAGACCACAGACCTGGAGACCACAGCCTGAGGACGGTACTCCATCTACAGTCAGCTCTGAGCCAGCTCAAACTACATTCCTCTTGATCCTTAGTCCCCAAAGGGGGTTGATTTGGAATACATACAGACTTTTCTCCTCAGTGCTGCAGCGGAAAGCCAGGGCCGGTGCGTGCTAGACAGGTGCTCTGCACTGACCACAGCCCCAGCCCCAGAGAAAGTGCCCGAAACCAGCACACGCAGGCGCAGTCAGCGGGCCAGCCGTGCGGCCGAACCAGGGGCCTGGTGCTGTCCCTGAGCTTTTGCACTGGAAGCTATCACTCTACCACTTGAGTCCCCCAAGAGACACCTGCCCGCAAGAGACGCGTGAGCCCGCAGGCCAGGAAGCCCAGCTGAGCTCTGCCCTCGCCTGGCACAGAGGGGTCAGCCCCGTGAGCGCCGCTCCTGCCTGTGTGCTCACTGCTCACCTGCTCCCACGCGGGGGCCCGCACTGCAGACACGAGACCCCGGGGAGCAGCCGAGCCCCACGTGGCAGCGGCATGCACAGCGCCACGCAGCATAGCGCCACACGACACAGCCCACACCCTGCGGCAGGATGTGTCCCTCCCAGAGCCCACGTGCCCGCAGAGGCCTGCTTACCGGAAGTGGCTCTCCACGGCCTCTCTCGAGGCTTCTCGGGGCAGTCCTGTGATGAACAGAGTCTGTCTCACCTGCCACAGAACACATCGGGAAGAGAAGTCACCAGGCAGCCGTGGCTGGAGGGACCAGGTTTCCGCTGCTCAAACCCCAGGAGAAAAAGCTGCAGCAGCCAGCAAGGCCGGGTGCGCTTGTGGGTCTGCAGAGCCCAGAGCCTGATCCACACGCAGCATCTTCTCCCGGCATTTGCTTGTTTGTTTGTTTTTGGGTCTGGTCGTGGGGCCTGAACTCTGGGCCTGGGCGCTGTCCCTCAGCTCTTCTGCTCAAGGCTAGTGCTCTATCACTTGAACCCCAGCGCCACTTCCGGCTTTTTTCTTTTTGCTTATGTGATGCTGAGGAATCGAACCCAGGGCCTCGTGCATGTGAGGCAAGCGCTCTACCACTGAGCCACCTTCCCAGCCCTGCACCCAACATTTGCAAGGCAGCTCTACCAGCAACAGAGAGGAGAGACAGCTCTACCAGCAACACAGAGGAGAGACAGCTCTACCAGCAACAGAGAGGAGAGACAGCTCTACCAGCAACACAGAGGAGAGACAGCTCTACCAGCAACAGAGAGGAGGCCCGGAGGTGGACGAGTCCTGGGACCCAGCTGCCTGGCCTATGTGAGGCCAGTGCGGAGCCACACGCCCAGCTCCTCAGCAATGTCTTCTTGAGCAGGCCTGTGCAGTCCACAGAGGTCTGGAACACACCACCTCTACCTCCAGCCCGAGTGCTGGGACTACACGTGTACAACACCAAGCCCGACGTAGTGGGCTTTTTTTTTTTTTTTTTTTTGCTTAGTCCTGGGGCTGGACTTGGCCTGGGTGCCGTGCCTTGGCCTCTCTGTGCTCAAGGCTAATGTTCTACCACTTGAGCCACAGCACCACTTTGGGTTTTTCTGAGTAGTTTATTAGAGATGAGAGTTTCATAGACTTTCCTGCCTGGGCTGGGCTTTGAACCGCAATCCTCAGATCTCAGGCTCCTGAGTAGCTAGGGTTACAGGTGTGAGCCACCAGCACCCGGCACAAACTTAGTTCTTTACTTAGCATCTGCATCTGCAAGCCAAACGCCACAGACCAACCCACAAGGTGGCAGAGTGAGGGAGCAGGTGCTGCAAGATTTAAAACCATCCACGTGCATTTTTTAAGAAGCTAATGGGACGTGTGAATACAAGCGTCAGCCGGCCACACCCAGGGTCCATGCGCCGAGGGCCCCTCGGCCCGGCCCACCCCAGCCTCCTAACCCGGCCGACCCGGCCTCACTCACCAGGCTTTCCTCTTTGTACCTGATGGACTGGATGTGGTGCCACATGAAGCCCACGGTGAGGAGCAGGTAGAGGACGGAGAAGACGGTGTGCAGCCACAGGAGGTTGGTGCTGGGGGAGACACGCCACGCCATGGGGGGTGCCTCTCCACCCCTCAGACCCACTGGGATGCCCGCCCCACACATGCTGGCGCCCACAGCTCAAAGCCTGCCACCTGCCGCCTGCGCCAGCTCCTGCTGGCCCAGCCTGGGCCCTGGCTCTGCCTCCCCCACCATCCAGCCTCGGTACCCTTCTCTCCCCCGGCTCCTACTCACTCGGTCTGCAGGTTTGCTATGGTGGTCCTCCCGAAGCTGTAGGGGTCTTTGTCTGCAGGGAGGCACAGAGATCGTTGTGGTAAGTGTGGGAAGCAGCCCTGGCCGGCAGGCTCTGCCGAGGTGAGGCTGTGAGCTGGACATGGGTTTTTCCAGAGCTGCCCCAATAGGGGCCTCAGCTCCACTCTGGAACATTCTCTGTACCTCACCATCACCGGCCACGTGGGGTGTCTTTTAAAATGTGTTAAGGAAAGCTAGAAACAATCTAACAATCATCCCACAAAAGGAGGCTCACTGGCACCCCAGTCTGCCGCTGATGGCATTCCGGAAGCGGGGGAGATACGACTCATCTTACACACCCCAGTGTGACTTCCTGCCTGGGCAGGGGCAGGGAGTCAGAGAACACTTTCTGAAGATGAATGTGGGATGCCTGCTGAAGCCAGCTCTCGGGAGGAGAGGCAGGAGGATCGGCGTCCGAGGCCGTCGGGCTATATGGGGAAGGACCTTGCCTCAAACACACATTTCCAAAATTCCCCATTCTACCAGTCTCTTCTGTGAAGTTCTTGGTTTGTTTTCGGACTTTCCCATTTAATAGAACCAGAGATAGGTATTCAGTCTCCAGCCCTTGGCCCAGATTTGGGACGGATTCTCTTCCACATCTTTACTCAGATGGGAAATTCCAAAGAAATCACCCTGTGATGATCTCACGCCATAGCGCAGGCTGACACGCAGGGAGGATGCGCACAGGGGAGGGGCCTGAGCCCGGGCTCTGATTGGAGGAGCTCGGCGAGCCCGGGGCTCTGGTTGGACGACGTCCGTAAGCGCGGGGCTCTGGTTGGAGGAGCTGGATGAGCGCGGGGCTCTGGTTGGAGGAGCTGGAGGAGCCCGGGGCTCTGGTTGGAGGAGCTGGATGAGCGCGGGGCTCTGGTTGGAGGAGCTGGATGAGCGTGGGGCTCTGGTTGGAGGAGCTGGATGAGCCCGGGGCTCTGGTTGGAGGAGCTGGATGAGCCCGGGGCTCTGGTTGGAGGAGCTGGATGAGCCCGGGGCTCTGGTTGGAGGAGCTGGAGGAGCCCGGGGCTCTGGTTGGAGGAGCTGGA